GGAGAATGGCCTTGAGGATAATGGGAAAAGGTATTTATTCTTTAGGCACACTGAGCTCTAGGTCTTTCCTGGTTAGGAATAAACCAACCTGGGAAAGGACACGTTGTCCTCCCAGGCACCTGCTGCCATGGCCTCAGGTGGGCAACCTGAAGGCCTAAAGAGAATAAGAGAATGACCCTGGTTCTACAAAGAGCTGCCAGAGGGGGTATGGTTTATGATGCTGCCTATTATGTTTTTGATTTTAGGGTCAGCAGTGTGGGTTAAGTTCACCATGAGTTACAACAGCAAGTGTACAGGAGTGGCATAATGTTACACCAAATAACCCTTCATTTAATGAATTCCGGTTTACATACACACTCTTTATTTAGGGATTCTGATTCCAGTGTAGTGTAATAATGCTGCAGAGGCCAACACATTGTTTTGACAGGTCATGTGACCAAGCTCTATCCTCCACACAGCCCCCCATCATTCATTAAAATAAATAGACTTTTATTTGCTTCTGGACTTTGATACTCAAGGAACATTTGTAAAGCAAATCACTGCGCTTTATTAACATGCAACTTAGAATAGTTTAGAATAGGTTTAGAGGCTCCCAAGTAATTGTTAGCCTCAAACAAATATTGCAACATGGAAGCTGACTGTGTTGAGAAGCAATCCTCAGATGAGACAGCAGAGTCTAAGTATTATAATATTAATATTGTATTCAGCAAATCCAAGTATATGTTTCCATGTACTATATGTACTGCATCATGGGACCTCAAATATATGTGAATATCCAAAATATACTTTATAATAAAATAATTACAGAGGCACAAACATTGATCATGTTGATCCACCAAAACCTGAATCTCTAGAACAGTCTTTCTCAACCTTTTTACCCCGGAGGAATCCTTTTCACGTGTCCGGGAAACCCTGCTAGGATTAGTCCATTGGGGGTCATTACAAAAATGCACCTTACATTGGTGGAAAGATTGACCCCTTTGTAGTGGTGTTCTGAATGCCACCCTACATACAGCTTTAAACATCATTCTAGTGCCTCTGTTAAGTAATGATGGACTTGGATCTTTGAAAGGACAATCAGATGGGAGGTCAAATAGCCACAGCTCAAGGAACACCCAGAAACATCTGGAGGAACCCTAAGGTTTTCAACCGTGTTGAGAATGGCTGCTCTAGAGAGATATAAAATTCCCAGAAATTTCCTGCAATGCAGACCCTTGATGTCATTTCACAATTAAGGAATAAGTAATAAAGAAGAAAGGAAGGAAGTAGAGAGAATAAAGTGAGCAAGGGAAGTATGAAAAGTTAAAGTATATGTGAACCATCAGCTTGTAAAACAACCCATTGAGTTTAAAAAAATAAACCAAAGACAACCAATTTGTGCATACATATAAAAATATTATGAATTTTTTTTTTTTCCCACTTTTTAATAAGTGATCATATACCCTCTATTCTCAGCTACATGCAGATCTTAGAGAGCTGTAGGAGGAGAAACAGCAGTACACTGACCTTCCCAGGGGGGCCGTGTCAACACATTTCTGATCATTGGAGGGGAGCAGGTTGAGTTCACCTAGCACAGCCAGAGAACTGACCATACTGTGCTCTCATGCTTGGAGTGGTCAGTGTTTTAATGGGAAAGCAGAGGGACCGTAAGGAACACTAGGTATTTCACACAGAGAACATGATACATTTTCATACAAGTACATGGTAAAGCAGGCACATATCAGGAATATGACATTTTGGGTCGACATATTATTTAAAAGGAAGCACTTCATTAAGCATGTAGCCTGCTATTGCTGACCTTCTTAAAGGGGAACTACACTGCATCTGAGCTCCACAAACCAAAAATGCTATTTAATTTATTTTTAATATCCAAATTCACTCATCCATCCATGTCTCCATGCTTTATTTTGCTGAGAAATCACTTTGAAAAACACCCCTTAGCAATTCTAGCTGTGGCCATCTTGAGTAATGGCAGATGATTCATGTAACATGTACTTCCTGAAATCCATCTGCCCTTAGCTCAGGCATGCAGCCAAGGCCGTCTTTAATGCAGGGTAAAAAGGGCAGCTGCCCAGGACCCAGTCATTGTTGTGGGGCTCAAAGCAACTGCCCCCTAAGCCAATGCTGCCCTCCATTGTTTTTTTTTTTCAGCCTTAATTCTGCGACCTCGAGAACTGCTCACTTCTGTCACTTGTAAATACAGAAACACTGCTTCTGTATTTACAAGTGACAGCACTCCTCTCCCGGAGGCTGCTCAGAACTCTTCCTGCTCTACCTCACCTGCAGCCTGCACGAACACACTGTAAGTATTCCTATGCAGCCCCACTGTGAACATTTTGTGTGTATGTGTGTATGTGTGTGTGTGTATGCATGTCTGTGAGTGTGTATGTATGTGTGTGTCTATGTGTGTATGCGTGTCTGTGATGTGTATGTATGTGTCTATGTGTGTATGTTTGTTTCTATGAATGTGTATGTCTGTCTGTCTGTGTGTGTGTCTGTGTGTGCGTCTGTGTGTGCGTCTGTGTGTGCGTCTGTGTGTGTCTGTGCGTGTGTTTTCGGTGGGTGAGCTCTGAAATTAAATCTATTAGGAAGGGAGCTTTGTACTTGTGGAGGGGAACTTGGATGTACAAAGTACAGCCCTCAACCCTGCACTCTGTACATAGGGCATCTCTCAACCCTGCACTCCACACACAGCGTAACCCTGCACTCTATACATAGCGCACCCCTCAACACGGCATTCCGTACATAACTTACCCCTCAACACTGCACTCCGTACATAACTCACCCCTCAACACTGCACTCCGTACATAACTCACCCCTCAACACTGCACTCCGTACATAACTCACCCCTCAACACTGCACTTCGTACATAACTCACCCCTCAACACTGCATTCCGTACATAACTAACCCCTCAACACTGCACTCCCTACATAAACTCACCCCTCAACACTGCACTCCCTACATAACTCACCCCTCAACACTGCACTCCGTACATAACTCACCCCTCAACACTGCATTCCGTACATAACTCACCCCTCAACACTGCACTCCCTACATAACTCACCCCTCAACACTGCACTGCATACACAGTGCAACCCTGAACTCTGTACACAGTGCACCCCTCAACCATGCACTCCAAACACAGTGCAACCCTGAACTCTGTACACAGTGCACCCCCCAACCCTGCACTCCATACATAGTGCACCACTCCACCCTGCACTCCATACACAGTGTAACCCTGAACTAAATACACAGCACACCCCTCAGCCCCGCACTCCATACATAGTGCACCACTCCACCCTGCACTCCATACAGAGTGTAACCCTGAACTAAATACACAGCACACCCCTCAACCCTGCACTCCATACATAGTGTGCACCACTCCACTCTGCACTCCATACACAGTGTAACCCTGAACTCCTTACACAGTGCACCCCTCAACTCTGCACTTCATACACAGTGTAACCCTGAACTCTGTACACAGCGCACCCCTCAAACATGCACTCCATACACAGTGTAACCCTGAACTCCATACACAGCACACCCCTCAACCCTGCACTCCATACATAGTACCCCACTCCACCCCACACTCCATACACAGTGTAACCCTGCACTCCAAACACAGCGCACCCCTCAACAATGCACTCCGTACATAGCGCACCGCTCTACCCCGCACTGCATACACAGTGTAACCCTGAACTCCATACACAGCACAACCCTCAACCCTGCACATCATACATAGTGCACCTCTCAAAAAAATGTTTGCCCAGGGACCAATCGATAGTAAAGATGGCCCTGCATGCAGGCAGGTAGTGCGCGTTGCTGAGAAAACCCCTCTCCCCCTCCTGAAGACTCTTAAGATATATGACATCATTTGCCTAGGCATGGAAACTTGAAAATAACTGAAGAAATGTGAAAAAAAGTTAAGACAATTAAATATGATATACTTGCAGCATAAAGATTAAAAATAGTCAATGGTGATTGAAAGAGTAAAGTTCAGTTCTAGAAAACTCTAAGAAAGAAGGAAGGGAGAAAGAGAAGAAAGGAAGGGGGGATTTTCAGTTACCGTATTTTTCGCCGTATAAGACGCACTTTTTCTTCCCCAAAACTGGGGGGGAAATGTCAGTGCGTCTTATAAGGCGAATATGGAGCGGCCGGTCCGGTATTTCCACCGCGGCCGTGTCAGAATACCCGGGCCGGCCGCTCAGCTCTGCAGCGGGACCTTACCTGTTCCTCTATCCAGCGGCGTGCTGTCTTCCCGGCTTCTGTAGTGTGGGCACTGGGCATGACAGCCGGGTGCCAAGTGCGCATGCGCAAGAAGCGGTGCGCTTTGTGAATGGTAAGGCGGCACCTGGGCCACATGACAGATCCCAGAAGCCGCCGGACCAATCACAAAGCGCAAGTGCTTCTCGCTCATGCGCACTGGGCACCCGGCTGTCATGCCGAGCGCCATTACAGAAGCCGGGAAGACAGCGCGCGGCTGGATCAAGGAACAGGTAAGATCGGGTACCTGTCAAATTCAGGTACCCGCTCCCCACCTCCCCAAAGGTCAGCAGTCATCTGTACTGTCCGCAGTCTCTGGTCATCCCTGTGCTGTCCGCAGTCTCTGGTCATCCCTGTGCTGTCCGCAGTCTCTGGTCATCCCTGTGCTGTCCGCAGTCTCTGGTCATCCCTGTGCTGTCCGCAGTCTCTGGTCATCTCCTGTACTGTGTCTGCAGTCCATTAGTTCAGAATTTTTTTTTTCCTGTTTTCTGCCTCTAAAACCTTGGTGCGTCTTATGGTCAGGTGCGTCTTATACGGCAAAAAATACGGTAATAGGATAGCCTATTTCAGACAAAAATTGAGGCTGTCATTGCTGACCTTACAAATTTTTCTGACTATATAAGAGGTATGTAGAAGAAGAAGAAGGAAAGAAGGAAGGGGGGGGGGATTTTCAGTTAAAGATATAACCTTTATTAGTGAACATGTAAGCTGCATGAGCACAGAGTAGATGTTTTACCTGACCAACGTATGAATTTCTTATTCTGAATCCATTTTTCAACATTGCAAAAAGACAAAGAAAGTTCTTGTCCTTATAATCAAAACGTTGACCAAAGACAATGGAACAGATAACATTTGATACTGCCAAGGTCACCAGGTATGTAGGGTCGAAGGGTGAACCTAGGGGGAAATGAAATGCCATCTATGAATCAAGTGAATCATTAGTGAGACTGATTCATGAAAACTAGTGTAAATGAGCACAAAAGTGGAGATGTTGTGTTGTCCATAGTGACCATTAAAAGGAAATTGTGACACTTATATAGCCATCTCTTAAAAGCCAGCATATCAGTATTATTGGTTGCTTGGCTCAGATCATTTCCTTTTGGTAATTGTTCTAAAGCTTGAAGCCAAACAGGTCACGTAATAACCAGTGGAGCATTTCAAACCCACCTGCTTTTTTTCTAAACTCCTCTTTAAGGCAACAAGACTCCTCCTGGATCCGTTCTTCAACACTTCTCTTCCCCATCCCGAAGTTCCTCAATGTAGTGAGGGAGAAGCGTCGCAGCTGTCTCCAGCGCTCCCCATTACTAAGCATCAACCCTGTTGGCAAAAACTAGCATTTTTTAATAATTATTGATATGAAGTATATGTAAAGCCAAAACTTTTTTTTTCTTCATCTCAGGTGAATAAGAACTAAATTTTTTTCTGTCTGTGTCCCATTGATTGTTGGGATTTCTCTTCTTTTTCTGCCTCAAAGGCACAGCAGTAAGTGACTAGATATCTCTCATGGTATATACATATATACCCCCAGGGCAGTCTTTAACATGGGACAAAAGGGTCAGCTGCCCCGGGCCAGTCATTGTTGTGGGGCCCAAAGCAGCTGAGCTGCCACTTGAGCCTGCACTGCCAGCAAACAGTTGATAAGTGGATTTGGCAATTGCTCAGGAGATGAGGGTGGAATTGAATGTTAGGAGCACTGGTGATTGGTTGGGCGTAATGTCTGCAGCCTGTGCGGTGATTGGCCAGCTCAGTAAGGTAAACCTTATCTGGGAGGAGTGTCTGTCAGACAAGCCACAGACCATTGGCCCTCTGAAGAACTTCCTTGCCTTAAGGTTCAGCAGGGTGTGCCTTGTGTTCACCTGACATCCTCTGGACAGTGTCAAGGTGAGACTGCTGGGGGGGGGGGGGGGGCAATGCAGAGATCTGAGGAGGGAAGGGAGGGGGTCCTGTGTACTGATGGGGGTAGTATGGTGGAGGGGAGTTCTGTCTGTGTGATGACGGTGGTAGTATGGGGGAGGGGGGTACTGTGTAATGATGGGAGTGGTATGGGGAGGAGGTCCTGGGTAATGATGGGGGTAGTATAGGGGAGGGGTTCTGTGTAATGCTGGAGAAGGGGGATACTATATTATAATGGAGGTAGTATGGGTAAGGGTCCAGTCTAATTTGAAAGAGCAAAATTGCGGGGAAGGGGGGGTCCCAAGAAAATGTTTGCCTAGGGTCCAATCAATATTAAAGATGGCCCTGTATACTCCTGTAACATAGATCAAAAATATTAGATTTTTGTGAAAAAAAATACTCTAAAAGAACATTTGTTATATCATGAAAACTAACCAATAAGCAGTGCATAAATAGATTAGCTAATATGCAAGATGGATTGGTGAGTTCCCGGACCTACAGACAAAGCCACAGAAGGATCAAAACTTGACCGGTTCAGCAGGGACCAGCTGGATTCAATCCATCTATGGGCAGGTTAGTTGTACTGAAGTTGATCAATCGACTCGGATGCCACCGTTCCCTTTGGGGTTCATAGAGGGTTGATCCCTTGGTTTTTTTTTCTCCCTGGCCCTCGGCGTGCCCATGATATGATACTTTATTAAATCAGAATGAGAAATATGAATTATGTTTTTGTCTTTGTTTGTATTATCAGTTAAAATATTTATATGGTGGTGGCTCCTGAAGAAGTGGATCAAGTCAATGAAACGTGTTGAGCCCAAAGTCCATAAAGAACTGGATTATATGAGAAGAGATATGCTGTTCTTTGATGTTGTGAAGTTTCTATCTTTTATATGATTCAGTATTGTTCTTGTGAAATAGGACCATATCATATATGTTGGATTTTGCTATACAATAAATAATGTTTTTATACTGATGCTGTGCCTCAAAAGTCCCCATTTTTAGGTCTTTTTTCTATTTACAAATACATATAATTAGGGATGTGGCACCAGCATATATTTTAACATTGTTAATTACTTTTAGCATTAAACAGTCAGTTTTGGGATGAATTTTCCGAGCCAGCTCTGGACACTGCTATTTGTTGATTTTCTTTCGTGCAGTGGAATGATTTAAATGTAGCACTACCCCCTTCGGAGTCGCTGGAAGATTTGGGTCCCCCTATAGTGCTGCACAGCCAGGCATCACACATCTTCACAAAAGCTTGCATCCAGAGTCAGAAATCAGTCCTCAAGCTTTGGCTCTGTTGTTTTATTTAGGGGATTTGAACTGGGATAGGGTTAGAGATGTACATGATGCCTAAGGGTACTGATAAACTGAGGACAACTTCCTGGGACTATTTACAAGCCTTCTCTGCAGCATAGTCTCTGTTGGAGAGCTAGCTAGCATCTCCTTAGTGCATCACCCCAGACCCCAGATGAACTGCTCCTCTTCACCCAGCAATCTGGAGGTATCCCGGAACAAGGGATCTGATTCCTGTCACTTTAAGAGATGAACAGTCACTGGTAGGTGGATAATCTGGTTTTCCACAAGAGTGCTTCTTTCCCTATCCACCCAGGGGGTGTAGGTGTACTCCCTCAGATCCTCTCCTGTACCACTTGTGGGTTGGTGGATGCTACCAGGCATATCAGCTGAGCCACTCCTTCCGTGTCATACAGGTGGTCCTCTCCCAGGGGGCTGGGGAGCTTCAAGCCTTCCTCCTTTCCAGCTCCAGGCCTGCAGGTAGGCCCCATCCTAATGGGCCTCCTTGCAGCCTCCTTCCTTCATCCTCACATCTTCCTTGCTGTCTTCCACCCGAATTCTACTTCCCTCTCCTCCATCTGAGCAGGCTCCAACACTTTTAAGGGTGTCCCAGCCCTTGCCAACCTCCTGTTGAGGATTGGATAGGACCTCTCAAGTGTGTAGCCAGTAACTCCTCAGATCTACACACGGCCTCTAAAGCCTTCCTTCAAAAGCCCCAGAGCAGGGGAAAATTCCAAAGGGGCTGGCCTGCAGAGCCTCTCAGCTCTTGAACATGATTTGATTATTACACCCAGGCTGCTACTCAGCCTTCCTTACTGACAATCAAGATTTTAACTCCCCGAGCTAAACTAGGAGAGTGCTACAAAAAAAAAAATGTGGCAATTTTTAAAATCCCTTAACAGACTTATAGGCATCCACAACCTTCTTCTGAGGGACTTACAGAACTCTTGTAATATTGTCATGATGACTATTCACATGTCAATTTCAAAAGACCCAAGATACAGGTGAAACTCAAAAAGTTAGAATATCGTGCAAAAGTTCATTTATTTCAGTAATGCAACTTAAAAGGTAAAACTAATATATGAGATAGACTCATTACATGCAAAGTAAGATAGTTCAAGCCGTGATTTGTCATAATTGTGATGATTATGGCTTACAGCTCATGAAAACCCCAAATCCACAATCTCAGAAAATGAGAATATTGTGAAAAGGTGCAATATTCTAGGCTCAAGGTGTCCCACTCTAATCAGCTAATTAAGCCATAACACCTGCAAAGGCTTCCTGGGCCTTTAAATGGTCTCTCAGTCTGGTTCAGTAGGAATCACAATCATGGGAAAGATTGCTGTCCTGACAGTTGTGCAGAAAACCATCATTGACACCCTCCAAAAGGAGGGAAAGCCTCAAAAGGTAATTGCAAAAGAAGTTGGATGTTCCCAAAGTGCTGTATCAGAGCACATTAATAGAAAGTTATGTGGCAGGGAAAAGTGTGAAAGAAAAAGGTGCACAAGCAGCAGGGATGACCGCAACCTGGAGAGGATTGTCAGGAAAAGGCCATTCAAAAGTGTTGGGGACTTTCAAAAGAAGTGGACTGAGGCTGGAGTCAGTGCATCAAGAGCCACCACACACAGACGGATCCTGGACATGGGCTTCAAATGTCGTATTCCTCTTGTCAAGCTGCTCCTGAACAACAAACAACGTCAGAAGCGTCTTACCTGGGCTAAAGAAAAACAGACCTGGTCTGTTGCTCAGTGGTCCAAAGTCCTCTTTTCTGATGAGAGCAACTTTTGCATCTCATTTGGAAACCAAAGACCCAGAGTATGGAGGAAGAATGGGGAGGCACACACTGCAAGATGCTTGAAGTCCAATGTGAAGTTTCCACAGTCTGTGTTGATTTGGGGAGCCATGTCATCTGCTGGTGTTGGTCCACTGTGCTTCATTAAGTCCAGGGTCAACGCAGCCGTCTACCAGAAGATTTTGGAGCACTTCATGCTTCCTTCCGTAGACGAGACTTATGGGGATGCTGATTTTCCAGCAGGACTTGGCACCTGCCCACATTGCAAAAGCACCAAAACCTGGTTCAATGACCGTAGGATTACTGTGCTTGATTGGCCAGAAAACTCGCCTGACCTGAACCCCATAGAGAATCTATGTGGCATTGCCAAGAGAAAGATGAGACACATGAAACGGAATAATGCAGAAGAGCTGTAGGCCACTATTAAAGCATCCTGGTCTTCCATAACACCTTAGCAGTGCCACAGCCTGATAGCTTCCATGCCATGCCGATTTGAGGCAGTAATTGCTGCAAAAGGGGCCCAAACCAAGTACTGTGTACATATGCATGCTTATACTTTTCAGAGGTCTGATATTGTTCTATGTACAATCCTTGTTTTATTGATTGCATGTAATATTCTAATTTTCTGAGATTGTGGATTTGGGGTTTTCATGAGCTGTAAGCCATAATCATCACAATTATGACAAATCACAGCTTGAACTATCTTGCTTTGCATGTAATGAGTCTATCTCATATATTAGTTTCACCTTTTAAGTTGCATTACTGAAATAAATGAACTTTTGCACGATATTCTAATTTTTTGAGTTTCACCTGTATATGAAGTTTAAATAGGATAGTTTCCACCAAACTTACTCCTTGGGTGGGGTGTTCCAATCATTGGCACCTAATTTTGGGGCGTTCTAATCATTGGCACCTAATTTGGAACACCTGATTCTAATTTGATGGATTTGAAGCGGTGATAAAGGTAAAGGTGTACTTACTTTTCACATGACAAATTAGCATTAATTTAGATTATGAGGATGAATACACTATGTTACTGCTATTTTTTCTGTTTCAATAATATTTATTGAAATGTTACATACAATACAAAATATAGAAAACAGTAGAAAGGCCTTCAGCCAACACATGGGCCAGTTGGAGGTGGCCAGCCACAAATAAGGAGGTGGCAATGCCACACAGGCTATATACAGTAAGTATGTAGGAACTAAAACAACAATCAACCTGAAAACTAACTGGTTGAGGGTCATAAAGTACTAAAAAAGATTGTCAATGGTAATTATATCATAAAATTGGCTAAATTGCCATAGAGTGATGGAGCTTTGTGTCGAGGGGCAGAGATATAAACCGTCTAGCCCACTTCTCGTTAAGCAGAGCTCATCCTCCCCCAGCATTCAATCTATGTCAAAAGAATTATATAATTAGACCAAGCCAAGGGAAAGAAGAAGTGCCCAAGGCAAAATAATCACAAAAAACTGGGTAAACTAAAACTGCTAGCTGGGCCCTTGGCAGAGGCCATACTTCCAGGAGAAGAGAGAAAAGAGAAAGGAAAATAAAGAGGTAGAAGGAAGAGAGAAAAGAAAAGGAGGAAAGAGAAAAGAAGAGCAAGGCAAGAGATAGGTTGTCCGCCCATCAAATCATCGTCGAAAGTCACTGTTATTTTTTATTTGTTCACATACAGTTTATCACCTTTACCTGTAAACACTGTTTAAATTAATATCTAATGCTTGCTTGTTCAAATATGTTGAAAAAGTCAACAATTTGCATGCAGTGCACTTACTTTTTCAGTATATACTTTATATCCAAGGCTTCCTGCCTGTCCTCCAGCTACAGCAGGGTTTGTCCTTTCTGTTGCATTGAATGGTAATAGGCCCTGTACATGGGCTGGAATCCACTGTGCTCAGCCGGGGATCTGTCCACCGATCCCCAGATGTGCAGAGCAGATTGGAAAGATGACAGGTCAGTGTCAGCTCCATTTATGCATGGCGGACAATGACATTGTGGGATTTATTTACTAAAGCTGGTTCTCTCAGAATCTTTTGCCCTTCTCCATAGAAACCAATTAGCTTCCAGGTTTTATTGCTAAAGCTTAACTGAACAAGCTGAGGTTAGAAGCTGATTGGTTCCTATGCACAGCAGCACCAGATTCTCAGTGAATCAGCTTTAGTAAATAAACCCCACTCTGCTCGGCTGTCCGTTTACTCCCGCCTGCCCTCCAATCTGATCTGCCTAGCACGGGTGTCGGCAACCCGCGGCTCCAGAGCCGCATGCGGCTCTTTTTCATCTTTGCTGCGGCTCCGGAGCACACTGCCCACCAGGTGACAGGCAATAGGGTTTCAGTGGTCGGCAAGCCGCGGATCGCAAGCCACATGCGGCTCTTCTGTGTGCCGGGGGCGCCCGCTCCCCTCCCTCCTCTCGGGCGGCCGCCTCAAAAGTCAGGATTCTTTTAATCCGGCCCGCGGAGTGTGGAACATTGGCTGTCAGGATGTAGGCGGGGCAGCCAGGATGTAGGCGGGGCAGCGTGACGAACTCCTCTCACAGTCCGCCCTGAAGACTGGAACACAGCGCGGGGAACACAGCGAGAGGAACGCGCGGAGCAAAGGTAAGTGAATTGAGACAATATGGGGAATTAATTACTATAGGGGGGATGAATTACTATGGGGGATGAATTATTATATGGGGATGAATTATTATATGGAGGATTAATTACTATGGGGGATGAATTACTATGGAGGATGAATTACTATATGGGGGATGAATTACTATGGAGGATGAATTACTATATGGGGGATGAATTACTATGGAGGATGAATTATATATAGGGGGGATGAATTACTATGGAGGATGAATTACTATATGGGGGATGAATTACTATATGGGGGATGAATTACTATGGGGGATGAATTACTATATGGGGGATGAATTACTATATGGGGGGATGAATTACTATATGGGGGGATGAATTACTATGGAGGATGAATTACTTTATGGGGGATGAATTACTATGGGGGATATTACTATGGGGATGATAGGGGAATTACTATGGGGGATGAATTACTATGGGGGATGTGGGGGATGAATTACTATGGGGGTGGGGGATGAATTACTATAGGGGGATGAATTACTATATGGGGGATGAATTACTATATGGGGGATGAATTACTATATGGGGGATGAATTACTATGGGGGATGAATTACTATATATGTGGGGGATGAATTACTATGGGGGATGGGGGATGAATTACTATATGGGGGATGAATTACTATATGGGGGATGAATTACTATATGGGGGATGAATTACTATGGGGGATGAATTACTATATGGGGGGGAATTACTATATGGGGGGATGAATTACTATGGGGGATGAATTACTATATGGGGGATGAATTACTATGGGGGATGAATTACTATATGAATTACTATATGGGGGATGATGAATTACTATAGGGGGGATGAATTACTATGGGGGATGAATTACTATAGGGGGGATGAATTACTATATGGGGGATGAATTACTATGGGGGATGAATTACTATATGGGGGGATGAAGCTAACTGAAGCAACTGCACGATCCTGTATATAGCATTAAGGTAAGAAACAATATATGCAGTGTCGGATTTGTTTTAAATGTTGCAATGGTTTTGCGGCTCCCAGTCTTTTTTTTCCCTTCGGAAACGGGTCCAAGTGGCTCTTTATGTCTTAAAAGTTGCAGACCCCTGGCCTAGCAGATCAGATTGAAGGTATGCGGGTGTAAACAGACACAAGTTTTGAAGGCATCCACTCATGAAATATCAGAAAATATTTGTGAGAGAAACATGGAGGCTGCCACCACTGACTTTTCAGGTAATGGTAGTTCCCTGACTATTATACCGATGCTCTTGCTTCAATGCTTCGAGTTGCTCAAAACTTGTTTCAGGTCAAAGTATTGAAATATATCAGCAAAACACAGCTTGCTAGCATTTTCAGAAGGAGATCAGCTTTGGTAGCACTCACAGCTCTCTTAGGAAGGGTTTACATGTGATTAGAGGTGTTACATACCATAGTCTTTAAACACAAGTTGTCCTGCTGGAAGAAATGCTCTGTCACCGAAAATATCTGCGTTGTCTACTAGAGCCTCCTTCACAGCATCATATCCATGAAGGACCACCACTGCGTTGCTTCCCAAGTGGACAGTAAACACATCTCCATGGATCTTCGCAAGCTATGGCCAAAACAACAAAAAATATTTGGAATTACTGTACCTACTCTGAATTTCACACCTGCTCTCTCCAATATGTAAAGGACAGATGGTCCCTGAATTAGCTGATGTCAGTTGCATTGTTATGTATTTGCATACCAACACACACTCTTGCTCTGATCCTTACTGATCTCCACCTTTTTTGAGAACAAACAATCCCCTCTAAGTGATCTACAGTATGTACTTTGCAAGCATTTTACCAAACTTTGTAACAGAGCCCCACCTGTTTCTGCTCTGAAGACAAAGCTGTATGCTTAACTAAATCCTTGGAGTACTGATTCCTGAATGGGAGTGTCTGTGTATATTCTAGTTAGCTGATGTCCTTGCAGTGTTCTAATGAAGAAATTTGCAGGGTCTGCATCCATTTAAAAGTAATTAACCCCTTAGAAGTATCTCACCAAAAATAACTTTTTTGCCGTGGAGGATGCTTAAAATTTGACTTAGTGCACACTTCTGGGAGAATTAGTGAGCCAATCACAAGCAGGAAATTACATTTATGGGGAAGATCTGTACCTTGGCTTTGTACAGAAGGCCTCTAAGTTGACATATTGCATTGAATTTTACAGAAAATTTCTGCAGCTTTAAAGGAAAGGTAATTTTTAATTATGTTAAAATTACAACAGGGCTTGTGTTGCAATTGTATATGCTACAGGGTTGATTTACTAAAACTGGAGAGTACATAATCTGGTGCAGCTGTGCATGATGGCCAATAAGCTTCTAACTTTAGATTGTTCAGTTAAGCTTTGACAATAAAACCTGGAAGCTGATTGGTTTCTATGCAGAGCTGCACTAGATTCTGCACTGTCCACTTTTAATAAATTGATCGTTTTTAGTTACTATATATTTTTCCCATGAAAGTGGTGGTGCCCCCTTAAGGATCTTACTTCCACCAGGATTGGCTCAGTTTTTGATCATAAGACACACAGGGGTTTATTTACTAAAGCTAGTTCATGCAGAATATCGTTCACCTGTGCATGGTAACCAATCAGTTTCTAAAGTCAGCTTGTTCATTTGAGCTTTAGCAATAAAACTTGGAAGCTGATTGGTTTCCATGCAAAAGTGCACGAGATTCTGAGTGAACCAGCTTTAGTAAATAAACCCCACAGTGATGAAAATACTTAATTTGTTGCACTTTCAAGATTTGAACCTAAACTAAGCACACATGAGGATCAGCTACATATGGTCTCCCAGTGGTCATGTACTTGCTGCACCCCCCCAACTGCTCTTGCAGGCTCTCACCTTTATGAATGACTTAGGCAGATCTTTCATGTTCAGCTGTAACACATTTCCCAATAAAGGAAGAGGAGAAGGCCCCGGAGGCAAGTGCTTATACTTTTTTTTTCTGTTTCTCATCAGGAAGAATATCAAACTGGTGACACAGAGAGCCAGGATCAATGTGCTACAATCCATGAAATATGTTGGCCTTGGAATTTTCTGCCAATAACCCTGCAACATAAAAAACAAAAACACATGAAAAATTCTGTATTACAGATGAACCTCACCCAATACTGTCTATATGCATCAGGAAAGTAAGTCTTCCATTTCATTTTATCTTTGTGAGGAGTAATAGAATCACTCCTGAAAAAAGAAGCATCTCTGATTAGACATGTGTGATTTGGTTCTTTACAAATCAATTTTTATTTGAAAATTTGTTAGTTGGACATTCGGATGTAAAACAAATATCCAAATCACAACAGAAACTTATGTGAAATAAAATTAAAAATGAATTTTTTGTATCTGTTCATTCTTATAAGATCACATGATGCGATAGTAGTTCAGGCCCATGGGGAAATTAATTTGATTTTCACATTTTTTTGATAATTTGAATAACAAATGGATCTGAATTTTGTTCTGTTCGTTAATTCAGATACATTGACGCCAGTCAATGTTGTCCAATCAGCTCATGCCATTTCTCTTGGTGGGTTGGACCAATATTGAAAACCGTCCCATTCAAATCTGTCCGATATAATATCAAATATATAGCCAGAAAAAAATGCTAAATATTTTTTAATACAAAACGAATGCCGAAGATACAAAATGGATCAAAGGATCACTCTAAAACACATAACTTGATGGACCCAAAGCAGCATAGCTTTACTGAGGGCAGATCATGCCAGACTAATCTGATTTCAATTTTTGACCATATTGCCAATGTTTTGGACCAGGGTGGTGCTGTGGACATAGCATATCTTGAATTCAGCGAGGCATTTGAAACAGTTCCACACCATAATGAACTAATAAAAAAGTTGTACAAGCTAGGACATAGCTCCGGGTGGTCCCGTGGATATGCAGCTGGCTTAAGGATGTAAATGGGGTTCATTCGGAGAAAAGACCAGTCACTAGTGGTGTACCCCAAGGCCCTGTACTTGGTCCTGTACTATTTAATCTATATGCAAGTGATATAACTAAAGGGTTGGTGGGTAAGGTATGTCTTTTTGCTGATGATACAAAGGTGTGTAATAGGGTTAGAGATGAGCATTACTGAAAAATGTGTTTTGGTTTCATTTGTTAAGTAAATAATTTCATCTTGTCATAATCGTTATGTTAGAATGATTCATTTTCGGAATTCGTTTTGCATATTCATTGTTCCCAATCAATTTGTATTTTCAGAAGTTCTGTTATTCTTTTGTTATTTCAGAAGATTAGCTATGTCCCTGCTAGTCAAAACCAGAGAGAGAAATGGAATGAGTCGCGTCTATCCTGAAGTAACAAATAGAAAACTATTTCAGATTTATTTGTTATATTATGTTTCTAAAATTCTAATGGATCCACCTCCATCCAACCCAAACACAATAAGTATCTTATTTCACTTTTATACCTTACTGTATTTATTGCAATATGTTTCCATTTTCATATGTAGTACATTTTTTATAATATGAAAAATGTTAATGCAAAAATAATCGGCTGATTATCCAAGAGTCAAAGACTACCGTGCCGCTCTCATCCGAACAAAACAAATTAGTCGGAATTAATACATATTCATTTGTTATGGTATTAAAGTGAATTATTTTCCCAATCAAATGAAATGAATGGTCTCTCAAGTTCAACCCCAATGCAAAAAGAATCTTTTAGAATATTCACGGTACACTGACTAGAATCTGAATCATTTTGGATTATTCGTTATGTCTCTATGTTATTTCAAACATTAACAAAATACCCAAACTATCCCATCATGCCATCCAAATAAAACATGAATACAAATGCATTTGTTTTTTCAATATATTTCAGGGATCACAAGTAGGAGGAAGGAGGTCCAGATTTCCCTATAAAGATCTTTAGTTAGACCTCATTTAGAATACTGTGTGCAGTTCTGGAGACCTCACCTACAAAAAGATCAATAAGATAGAACGAATCCAGAGGCGTCTAACAAAAATGGTGAAAGGTCTGATGGATGAAACATATCAAGAGAGACTTCAGGAACTTAATATGTACAGTGTGGAGTAAAGAAGAGAAAGGGGAGACATGACTGAAACTTTTCAATTCATTAAAGTGTGAATAAGGTTCAGGAGGGCAGCAGTTTTACTAAAAAGTCAAGATCAAGAACCTGGGGACACGACCTCAAACTAGTTTGAGGAAAGTTCAAAACTAATCTATCTTGGATTCAAACATACTTGGGAACAACACATTGATCTATTGTATACTCAGCCAAAAAAAGTTAACAAAAGAAAAAAAAATTAAAACAAAAAAATAAAAAAAAACATGGGCAGACTCGATGGACCACTTGTCTTGGTTCCAACGATCTACTATACAACTTTATATAAAAACATATAATTTATAAACATCATAAAAAATATTATAATGTAATAAAAAAAAAGCTTTCCTGTTTAGCTCAACCAATTCTTCTAATTCCCTCTAAAGCTCAAACTCCTTGGAGCCCAAATGCAATGTAGAAAACATGAAGGTTTACAAAGACTTTATACATCAAAAATTAGGGTATCAAAGAGGAAAGAGCTTCCATTTCTAAATGCATTTTGTGGGTATTAAACCGCTTCATCAGGAGAGAGGGAGGCAAGATATATCTATACATCAAACAGATTTCTAATCATACATAAATAAAAACAAAAACAATATCCAATACATAATTGTAATATTGTACTATACTTGTACTATACAGACGGATCAGGAACACTCTCAATGGTCAAGGATGGAACTCTGCAACCATAAGAAAAAAAACATGTATTTAGATTCCCTGAGGTTGAGCATAGCAGTGCATCAAAGTTAAGGTCTGGGAGGAAAAACACAAACATGAGTGTAATCATTAATCTGGAACATTACATCAAACTGAATGGTATTGCAAACCAACCTGGCAGGGTAAGGGCCCTCTTTGTCTGCATGTCAAGTAAGGTTATAGATGATTATGAGTAAAAAATGTGACCTGTGCCAGAGATAAGTTCAAGTAAAACCCATGTATCAACAAACTCTACATAAAACACTATGGCAATTCTCTTCTAAAAAGCATAAAGGTCACGCTTATACCTAACACAGGTGGTCGGGCACTATAGCTAACTTCTGTGTTCCACACATATAGCAAGTGTATATTTGTGCTTTTTGGATCGCAGATGAACTTTGGTTATGATGATTCCTCATGATTGAAGTATATATAGCTTTGTAGATAACTTTTGGTTTAGATTTTTCACATTTGCACTATTCACAGTGGTTTCTCTCTTTCTCCCTGCAAGCAGGTGAGCTGTGTCACCCCTACACATTCCTTTCTTCCTTTTTTTCCACGTCTAGCCTCTTTTCCATTTTATCACTCCCTTTTTTTCCACTTTCCCCAGCTCCATTCATGGACTGATTATCATCATTCTCAGGGCTGATTCGCACTATGAATACGTAGTCGAGATGCGTTCTGGATGCGTCTTTGCCTGTGCGTTTTGACACGGTTTTTGGCATATCTGGTGCGTTTTTGATGCGTTTTTTATGCATTCCAAAGTATTTTTTATACATTCTAGTCCGTTTTTTTCCCCTCTCTTTTTTCATTTGAGATGGGGACATGTGTAATATGGCGCATTTTTGGTGCACTCCGGTACGTTTTGATGTGTTTTGCAGCATTCCAGTGCAGCTCTGTACGAGTGAGATGCGGTGTGTTCTGCTTTTTATCTGCAGCTGGAACGCACTGGAACTACGAACACTGATGTGAAGTATGACATTGGCAACCATGTATAGTATACTACTTTATCTTTGGATGCAGATGAAAAGTAACTGAAATGCATGTGGTGTGAACTAGCCCTCAATCTGTTTTCTTTGTGTTCTTTTTTCTTCACAGCTCATCTCTGCAACCCACCCACCCACAGGTTTGTGTGGCGTCAACGTCATATGTTTCTATGACGCCTGGCAACTTGCCTCTGCCTTGTCCTTCCCGGCGCCGACATCATGGGTTTCCATGATGATGGCGACCGGTGCAGGAATGTCTTTGAGCGCATGCGTGAGTAGTAAACTCTCATGGTGCATGTAGGTGACATGCGTCGCTATGAAACTGTCGGCCGCTGCACTAATAGGACCACTGTAGGTGTGTCCCCATTGCAGCTCACTTGGCAATCGGAGACAACCCTCCCATATTTCTAGGTAACAGTCTCTATCTTCTGTCAGGGACATATATGCTGCTGGTGGTTGTTTCCAGAACTCAGTGCTGCTTTCAGCTGACACTTTATTACAATCCGGGGAGTACCATGATACACATGTGACCACAATGTTTATATCCCTGGGAATGCAGTTTATGTACATCTGATTATATTGTTTAATTTATTTTTGCAGTTTGGATTGTTTCTGTTTACATTTATTTGAATACATTTTTGGAGGGAACATGACATCATGGGGTGGGGCCAAGCTCATTTCACTTCACTCTGATTGGTGGATGGTTTTCTTAAATAGTTCTCCAGTTTCTATCACTATTTGTCACATGCCTGATGAAGGGGTCCTGCGAGACTCCGAAACGTTGCCTTGCTGTAACTATGTGATGGTTTATTAAAACATTTGGACCCATATTGGTGATCCTCGGTGTGCTGGTGACATTTTTTCCTTTCCACACATATAGCAGTCCCCTTTCCCATAAGGCAAGCAGGCCATACTTGTTTTCCCCCAGGACTTATACACAATGCTTTTGTGCCTGGCTACCATGCCTATGCAAGCGCATACTGAGCACAGCAATCAGGTACTTGCGGTTGGCAGATAGGCAGAGTGGTTCAATGACTGACCAGGTATATGGCAGGCAAGGGTCAAATCTGTAGTCAAAAGGCAGGCAGAGTTCAGAAAATAGTCATTATCCATTGTCATTTACAGGGAAATCCAAGCAGCAGAGCAAACAAACGGTGCTTGAGCATGTGTTACAAACGCTATCACAAGCATGACACTGC